CTGGTGACCCACTCTGAATGGTTAAAACATTCAGATGACTTGGGCAAAACCTTCCCCAGGTGTCATCATGTGTCTTTGTCCACCACCAAGATGTACAACACAAACATAAGATGCAACATAAACAGGGGGTGGGTGTGATGGCTGTGTCACTTGTCTGGTGCAACCCAGTGTAGGTGCCAGCGGAGGCATTATCTAGGGATGCCATATGGAGTCTATAAGGGGGGGGAAGGCCATGTGTGTAAAAATAAATACATACAAATACAAATGCACACACACCCCTCCCTTTTTAAAACCAGAGCCTGAACAGTTGCAGGATGTGAGTTCCCAGCCCTAGGTACTCACCTGGACAAGCAGAAGTCAGTTCTGACTGCAGGGAATTAAATGTAGCACAGATTTAAGAAAAAACGTTGTGCTGACAGTTTATACACTTTTGACATATTCTCACAATTACATGTTCTCTAGCTAGTTAGAATAACTGAATTTTGAAAAATATTCAGAAAATCAATAAATACTTGTGTGGCTTCCTTACAGGCTACATACTGTGCAATTTTCCATTGCTGACTTTTTGTTTCTCCTTTGGTATTGTAACATAAAAAGGGCCAATTCCTTGTCTCGGTTACCAAGATCATGATGCAGCTTCTAAAAAAAACCCAACCAAACCAAAAAAACCAAGACAAGTAGTGCTATTTCTGCGTCAACTAAAAGCTCCACCTGACAGATCAGCTCTCAACATAAAAGCTGGAACGATCAACAGGATTTAACCTGACTGCCAGAGCATGAAATAAAGGGCACAAATGAGCTCACCATGGCCAGATGAATTGCAGGCTCCTTAGGAAGCCTATCAATCACAACATCCTACTCCAGTGTTTGCTCAAGGTATGTTACCTAAACTAAAGTACTTGGAGAGTAGCAAGGATGGGTTTTGCCTGAACAATGCAGACTTCAATCCCAGAATCAGGTGTAGCAGTTGTTAAAATGAAATTGTGCTGAGAAGTACTGTAGCCGTTACTGGAAAACCAAGAGAGGAGGGTATGAATTTTTTGCTTTAAAATAATAAAATAAACAAGGCAGTTCATACATTTTTGCATCACAGAGGGTATTTTTTAGACAATAAAAAAAAACCACAACAATTTTAAAACTGCACAATAAAGTTTTATAAGATAGCTGAGGAACTTCAGCTTTGTATGTTATTTAATTCATTTACAATAAGAGAAAAATAATGAGAACGTAAGTTTGTACTTATTTCCAGAAAATAGATTCTTTTGACAAACAATGTTCCAAGGGTAAATAAACCTCGTAATGCAATTATTTCAGAACAAATGCTCATCAAGCTACTGGAGTCCTATACATTGTATTTTAGCTGTCAACAGCCAACTCATCTGCTCTGTAGCCAGGACACTTCATTTATAACATGTGTAACAGCACACAAACAGTAAGATGCACAAAGCAATGTCTGTAAGATAAAATGTTACAAAACACTTGTCAAAATAAAATATATATGCAAGTCATCCCTAGTATTTACAAGAAATAATTTTAAATTAGAGATCGTTCAGAAGGCATTTCCTACGTACAAATGCCACACAAAGAAAAAATGCAAGAAGGCAGTCAAAGAAAGGTACTGTGTTAGTTATGGCTAAAGACCTTTGGCTCCAAAAATCTGTGGTAATTATTTTCAAAAGACAACTAAAATGTGGAACATTTGAGTAGTCTGTCTTTGAACTCTGTTATTACACTGACCACTAAAACTCAATGTGAAATTTAGCATGGCAAGAGCCACTTGTAAAACAATCTTATTATTTTATACATCAAATGCTCTGAGTTAGATGCAATTATGGTTTGGCATTTTCCTAACTCAGTGGGAACACATTCGAGGACAATTACATTTTACTGCATCTCATGCATAAAGTCTGAGGTTCTCTGCTCAGCAGGCCATTGGGAATGCTCTGGCTGTGCTTTATCTAAATCAGGCACAAATGTGCTTAGTAGTTGCCCTAGAACTTTATATAGCAACTTAAAGCATGCAGAAGTGAGAGGAGAAGAACAGATGTTGCCATCATACCTTTCTGATAGAACTTTTGTCACCAGAAGGAGGATCAGGGCAAGAGTTACTAGATACAAGCTTCTACATTTTAATTGCAACTCTTTTTCCCACTGACTCTAAAGTCAGGCTGAACCCCAAGTAACTACTTGTCTTAATTGTTAGATAATGTGTGTTTTCATTTTTCGTTTAACTATACTTTGTTTTAAAAAATTCGGTGGAGTCTAACTTTGTCCTGTCCTGGTTTACTTTATCTTAATCTCTTGCAAGGTCAGATTGCAAAGAAAGACACAGAGAGCATTATAAAGCAATCATGTCTATATGTAGGGTATTATATGCAAAACTGTCCTGAGTAATCTGCACCATGAAATATTTGATTTTTATCTCTCTGATAAAAAATCTGATATTTTCATCTCTGAGAAAAAAACTGCTGCATCCAAACCCATATGCAAACATTTCTGTTCATTTTTAGGGCTAAGGCACCAGCACTACTACATGGGAAGAGCCTTCATGGGCACTGACATGTCAGAAGATAATCCCAAAACCTCCATTTTTTTTCCCCAGCACTACACAGAAGCAAGCCCTGGAAGGGAGTAGGTTTTAGCAAAGACACGAAGACATAATGAGATCCACACTTACATACAAGTCCAGCTGGGAAAATTTCTGGGTGAGTGCTGCAAACCAACTTGACATTTTTTTGCATGTAGAACAAGTCTTTCAAAATGTTATTATGAAAAACATCATCCGTGCTTCCTCAGTACACACATCACACTTTGGTTTGCAGGCCTGAACGTGGCAAGTACCCACAAAACTGGGTATGTAGGAAACACAATAGGGTCACCCATATAAGAGGAAAGGCATGCATCCACGCCTGAATTTGGAAGCCTGTTCCTTATGCTTAAATGGAGCATTTAGAATTATCTTTAAAAAAAACAGAACAGAAACGGCTTGTTTTCAACATAAAAAGAAAAATACAACCCAGCCAGCTTTTTTTCACTAACTTTACCATGCGTTTTCTTTAAGCTGGATCACTGAAAATGTCAGTGTATGTTTTCAGTTCTTGACTGTTTCAGGTTCCTCCATCCCTATGGGAAAGCACAGGCAATGAAGTTCACTATGCAGTGAACGCTTCAGCTAGCAGAGCATCACCAGACTTTGCATTATTGCTGAGCTACATACACAAGGCATTTGAAATGCACTGTTGTCAAAAGCTGTCAGTTAAAATCAAAACCAGAAACCTGGACTTTGCAGAAGCTGCCACAAAGTTATCAAATCACAAAATCTAGTGACTAGTGGGCTTCACAACACTGATGATAGATAAAAATACAGAGGTAACAACAGTAGGAACAAATACATGTTTAAAATAAGGCTTTTTTACATAGTTGTCAAGATGCCTGGCCTCTAGCCCCTTTTTTGTTCTTCATATATTACAGATTCATGACAAAGCTGATTGTGTCTGTCAAAGAATACCCTTAGATCTACCCTTATCATCAGATAATGCCCCTAATCAGCAGCACGGGATAAAGTATTGTAAAAACATTCATAGCAAATCAGTTCTGAAAACTATGGAGTCTGTCTTTCCTTCCATATTACCAGCAGTCTTGTCATCTTTAAATGAGAGCTACCAAGCAGAAATGATCGATGCTGGAAATACCAAGATCCTGTATCTTCTCAGAAGTAATTCCCAAATTGACTTCACGGCATAGGCAAATTGTAGCAATGCAAATCATGTGTTGCATATGCTGGTCAGAGCTGACCTGAATCAGGCCAGGTTCTTCCCCTTCCAACACAGACTGATGACTCTGAGACAAAAATCCATCTCCAGTTCACACAGATTCTCTGTCCCCTCTGGTAAGGATTTATCTTTCTTTCTGAAGAAATAATTGGTCAAAACCCATTGTCAACTGACTGTGTATAAGAAGCATGGATCCAGACCCCTTTGATGTATTTACATTACCACTGATCCATTTTCTAAGTCAAGCTATAGGCATACAAAGTGTGATAACTATGTAACATAGCCAGCAGTCACCAAACACCATCTCAACTCGTTTGACTTTGTACATTCACATTATCTCCATTAGAAAATAAAAAAATAGGTTTTACACAGAGAAATAAGCATATTGGAAATATAAAGGAGCTTCTCTCGGGCGAAGAAGCGTGCAAAAAGTGATAGAAAAGCTCTCTACTGCAGAGCCTACATGCATGCAGTGTATTGCTGTGACTGAAAGTGATCAATCTGAGATGCCCTGGGCTCCTCTTGTCTTCACTTGTGTGCAATAAATGCACAGATCTTTATAGTCTATTTCATACTCTGTTCATGTTTCTAAATGACAGAATAAAATTTCCCTGTTCCAATCTGGAATATGGTAAGGCCTTGCGGGACGTTCTCCTGCCATTTGGCAATTTAATCAGAAAAGACAGGAAGGATTAGGGTCCACTAAACTCTGCAACAGCTGGTTAGTCACATGGGATGTCTCCACCTGCTTTTCATGGGTGGTCTCTGCTCAGTGCTCCAAAAGGAAGGAGAAAACTGTCCTGGAAAGATTCCTTGTTGATATACCCCTAAGGAAACATTCCTCCCTATGCTGAATTTGGCCATCAATATAAGGTGAAGAAAAATGAAATGTTAGAATGACCTGCATGATTCCATCACTACTTCAGCGTACACTAAGAAACAGAGGTCAAATACCACTGCTTCAGAGTAACAGCAAGTTGTTTTTGTCAGAAGGGAGATTGCTCTTCATCAGCAATGCTGACACTTCGCAACATTGACATCAGAGCAGTTTTGAGGAATTTCGTTCTTCTTCTAGACAAAGGTTGTACTTTTGGCTCAAGGGAGCCCAAGGTTTTCCCTCCAAATCTGGAGATTCAGCGAGCTCAGATAAGCTTAACTGTGTCTCCAGGGTCCTTCCCTGGAGTACATCTCCCTCCATGCTGATGTCCTTCCCAGGTCCTTGGCCTCTCATTTTTTAAAGGGGGTGAGTTTGTTGAAGGTATGCCAGAAGAGGGATGGCTTCCGCTTGGGTTCTGCCAGGGCAAAAACCTGCTGCTGGGGGATGCTGGTAGGCACAGTGATGTGGCGCTGATGGATAGGATGCAGGCTTTGGTGCAGAGGAGGCACAGGACACCCGTTATAGCTCACACCTGCAAAGGGAACCGTTTCAGAAAGCATGAGTCAGGCAGCAGAGCAACCGGTACTGGAGAGTGTAAGCACAGGACCAGGGGGTAAATTCAATGGCCAGTACAGCTAGTCTGAAATTTGCCATCATTTTGAATAGAAGCACTACTACAGGTTACCTTTTCTGGTGTTAGACTTCTTAATTGCAATTCCGATTTGGTTTAAGAAGAGAAAAATACCAGTAAAAACAACATTACAGGATTACCAAAACTACACAGCATTTTCACATAGCCTAGCTACACTGTTTGCACAAGTAAATTCTGGTATTTCAAAGGAATGACTTCACAGCAGATACTTGGTTTTTAGTCAGCTCTCAGAATAAGGCTGGGTAATATATTGCTACCAACAAAAATGTTATTTCTTAAAAAAATATTTTTCCATGCTAATGTTCTCAGACTTTGAAATCTGTGCATTCTGAACACAGTCTCCTGATCACAATTTTCAGCTGCTCCCTTGAAAATCCAGACAGGTTTTATAGGTACCTAGTGACTGATAAAAGAGAAAATGCTGTAATAATGTTAATGCCAGGGAAGAGAGCATTACCTAATATCAACACCTTCACTCCCAAATTCAGATTTAATCTGGTCCCACTTGCTCAATTTATTCTCTCAATACACTAGAGATTTATCCAAATTTGGCTTTTAAGATGGAAAAGGACAAAATCACAACACATTTTCTGAGTGTGAAAAGGAATAAAAAAGCTCTTTCCAGAAAAACAGGTTTCTTGTTCATCCTCCCTTCTACTCTAGGACAGAAGGAAGCCATTTTGAGTGTGTTATCATAAATACAGCAACAGGTGGTTTGCAAAAAGAATTTTAGGGTATTTTAAACAAAACACATATTTGCCAAAGAAGATCAAGCTGTTTGAGTAAAAGCAAAGGAAGGAATCAGTAACCACCCTTTCTAATAAATAAACCACTTGTCTTGCTTCTTGACTTTCTTCTCTAATAAAGAGAATGACTGACTTGACTGTCTGAAGGAGACTGGGGAGCTGATTTTGTGGACAGTTTATAAAGGCACTGGAATTTGATATAAAAATATAGGTTAATGGAAATTATCTGAACCTCATGTAAGCCACGAAATTTTTTAAAAGATTGAAGAACTCAACCTTAGCCAGACTGTGCTATTTCATAACACCTGCACACAGTAATTATATAAAGCAGTTCTTAACACTTACCTTTAATCTTTCCATGCCTTGACTTACGGGCATTCTGCATGGCTTGTTTCTTCTGGTTTTCTGAGATTTCCATTCCTATGTCAAAGCATAAATTAGGGCACTGATACAAAAATACTATATCTAATACTTGTTTATATTAAATTAAAACAAATGAGTAAATTATAACTTAAACCATTTTTAGTAAACCCTAATATTAATATACCTAAAGTTTTTAAAAGCATGTGTTACTTTTTTCATATGAATTTTAAAATAGCTTTTCACTAGGATAACAATATGAACATTAAGTTTTGGGGGAAAAAACTGCTTTCAAGTTGCTGCAAATGGCAATCACTGGGGAACTAACCACACAAAAAGTTCTTTATATAAATAAGTCCAGATATAAGAGGTTAAAAAATTGTAAATTAAGAATTCTGAAAGCTACATGCCAAGAAGTAATAGCGCACAAATGCAGTATGTTCCTTTTTTCACTCACTCTGAGCTAACTTAAGAGTAACAAATTGAAGTCACTAGTACTGCAGTAGTACAAATTTGGGTATCTATCTTTCCCTCCAGTTGAAGAAGACAGCATCACATAATCTGCAAGACATCACAGCAGGCTGTGATGTGCTTGTGGCTGCATCAGACTGGGGCTGGATCCTTCACTCTGGCTTCTCATGTACTTGTCTGCATGCGTGTATGACTTAGATGATGCTGTAGTATCTGGTTAACCCTATGCTATTTACTATCATGTGAGGTGTGTGAGTGACCTGTGCTGAGTAGAGATGCCAGACATCTGCTATGAAAGGTGACAGCAGTGACTGGTGTAGTCTGGAGCCCATGTGCAGGCAACTCCAGCTTCCTCTCTCTGTGTACAAGGCAGCTGAGATACGTGGATACGTTATGATTGCAGAGAGAGACAACAGGGTGCACATGCTGTCACTCAGTTCACTTGTATGCACATGAAAAGCACATAAATTGCAACTCAAAAGTCAGAATGAAATGTCTAGGTTGGTTCCATTTTGAATTTTCCTGCACTTTTAAAATTTAGACTGAACTTAGGAATTTGTTGTAAATCACTCTATTAACTTAAAATACAACAGCAGTTAGCTGTAGTTTTGGGGTAGCAGAGGTTTATTTTATTCTGTGGCTTTTTTTCCTTTATAGAAACAAGGAAACATTAAAAAAAAAGCAATTTCATCAACAGATAGACCACTTTCTTAGGGTTACTATTAGTGGTTTGGAGAAGGATTTTCTGGCTGTGGCCCATTCTTCCCATATATTCATGAAAGCTAAGAAAAGCTAGATATGGGGTGGGAGACAGTGACTCGCACCAAAGTGACTTTGAAAATAGAAGTAAAATGCCATTTGCAGTTCTGAATTGGAAGAGTATGTATTTGTTCTCTGAGGGGTTAGATTATAGGCTTGTGTGAAGTCCAGCAAGAGAGCTTACAAAATCAACAAGATAAATTTAAACCTGAGGTCGAGAATACTGGCGCCTTTCCACGGGTTTTGGCTAAAGGAAATGTTCAATTATGCCAAAAAATTGAACTTTTAGAAAAGCATTAGTCTTCTGGGTAATGGAGAAAACATCCAATCTACTGTGACTCACAAGGCCGGATGGACAGGAGCTATTACAACTCAACTGTCTTTCCTCTTGCTTCATGGTACCTGTGCCAAAACAGGTACATTGGAGTAATGAGTTGCAACATTTGAAAAGCAAGTTTCCAGAAGGCTGGATGTCGCCTGGGCAGCAGAGACTCCCTGTGCCAATTTGCTACTATCAACTGTACAGTTTCTCCCCATACTGAGTTTTCTTCACTGTACTGCACAGTGCCTGCAGAGCAGCAAGCACAACGGACCTTCTCCTGCAATCCTTACACTCAGCACCATGGGAATTTGTGACCCAGCCCCAAATAAGTGTTAGTGCTATTACAACACATCTCCTTGTTAGCGCTGCCACTGTCACCACTCTTGAATGGCTGCCCTTTTGAATATCCTATGTTTCTTCTCATGGGGTCCCAGTAGAACAACTAATGATATTTAGAGCTCCTTTGCAGGTTCCTCATGCCTGGGGATTTCTGCAGCAGTGTCATTTAGAAGGAATGCTGACCCCAGTGCCTGCACAAGAGACCTGCTGCTGCCCAGGGCAAGCATTAGTATGAGCCTCAGAAGCATCCTGACCATCCATTTAGCCTGCTCAACACACTCTTCCCATGGTCCATAAAGCAATCACTGCCAGAAGGAGGTGTGGATACAGATCTGAAGAGCTCAAGAACGCTCCTCAGAAAGGACAGGAACAGAAAATGTTCACATTTCATCTTCATCTTCTTACAAATGTGCAGGAGCTGTGATGATTCCCTATCATCATTCCATATGACTGTACTACCAATCTCATTGTATGCTGAGGTGGAGGCTTCCTGTAACTCTGTTGTAAGGGGGGTTATTTGGACACTCATCATCAAATCCTCTGCATTGCTTTATTACCTTCTGCTCACCTTCATGCTTTTGCAATATCCACTTCAGAGTTCTATTTAGGTTAATTAGGAAAGGCAGCCACCAGCCATCCCCATGGGCACAAGGTGACTGAACAAGCGCTACACAGAGCAGCTCGTGAAAGCCATCAGTGTGGTGCCTGACAGGATCATAATGTCACACTGATGTTCAGCACAGGAGAAGAGCTGGTTTTGAAAAGTTTGAGAAGTTTAAGGGAAGTTCAGCTGTGGCTGCTTCATGGTTTACTCCAGACCTGAGATGACTGGTGTTACTTGCAACTGTTGGTGCACTGGGGATGAGTTAAAACTGGTTTCAGAGTATGAACTGGTAAACTTGAAAGTATCTTCTTCAGCTTACAAACTACCTACAGTACATATGGAGGAGGCATTATTTTGGTCATATTCACAACAGTATCAAACAAGAGAAAGCCAAAAGGCTTACTTTTGTAATCTAAAGGTTGTTCCTGTCTTCCTATTCTTCTGACCAGCTGTTTTAAGTGAACATGAAATATAAGATTTGGAGTCTTGTTTAAATGTTAATTTCTGACTTATATCATCCACTTTGCTGCACTTCCAATTTTAACCTGCTGTCAGCTAAAGCCTAAGCCTGAAGTGCTACAAAAAGGAGAAGTTTCTCATGCAGTCAACACTCACAGATGCATTAATATTTTCATTACTTTAGGAAAATTAAGAAGAGTTTTATTCTTCTTATTAGTGTTGCTGCCTTCTTTGTGTATGTTTTGCCAACGAAATTCTGCTGAAGCTTTTGTCACTGGTATTAAAGGAAGCATGAAACTATAAAAAAAATAAATAACAATCTTAAATGTATATTCACACAGAAGACACTAATCTTGAAAAGCATCCCACAGGCTGTGGGTGTAAAGCTGGTCCTGGAATTTGCTGCCTTTTTCCCTGCTTACTGAAGGTTAGGCTTCATTTTGGTGTAAACTTCCCAGTGATGCTATTGTTGGGTCTGTATCTAATGACAGCACACAACTGCATGGCTCTGCACTGGAACAGCAGTTACATGACATGGATAGTATAAATCTACAATTACTGCTGCGTGGCTTTGTACAAAGTGTCCTTTACTAACAGATATTTTGGGCCAAGGATTCATATAAAAGCGTATGGTTTTTTATTATTGATTGATCTTTGTGAATTGCACCTTGTCAGACATGGTATCTCGTTGTGCTCCACAGTGCACCAGAATCAGACAGGTTATGCTGTGACACAGATGTTGCAGCTAACTGCCCTGGACCTTTGACCCACGATTACAGAAGAACACACCTGAACAGGCTTCACTTACACAGCTAAACATCATGTCGGGTAAGAAAGAGACACCAGCCCCAGAAGGCAGAGTGCACATCTGCACAAAGCACAACAAAGCATAAAAGCAAGAACATTGCCCATTATTTTTACTACCTTTTAGAGAGGAAATCCTTCCACTCACCCATTTCCTTATCTTCCTGGACTCTTCTCCTTTCGCTTTCACACGCCTCCATCCATCTCTTTTTATCCTCCTGTTTTTTTGCACAGAACAAATGAATCTCGTCTGTTGCTCTGTTGATTATCTTAAAAGCATTCTTGACATTAATGTTGAAGTCTTTGTCTCTGCCATCTTCAGTGTCCACGATTTCCATGTCATCCATGTCAATACGGTCCTTATAATATAAGATGTCCCTTCTCAGTAAGTCCTTCTTGCAGAACACAAGCTGATGATCAAAAAGGAAGAAAGTCCTCTGCTGGCTCTTGCCTTGCTTTGATATTTTGGTCAGTTCTCCTGAGTGGATCAGTTCTGAGCTTCTGGCTAACACATCTGGTCCCTAGGAAGACATATACATACAAAGTAAGTAAATAGTATTTTAAGATCTTACTGTGTACCTAATCAGTCTCATTTTATAATCAAGTCTTAAGTTCATTTGTTTTTCTTGTATTTTTGTTATTATATTTGAAAATGTCAAAGAATTTAGATAATCTCACATAGGCCAACCCCATGAATGTGGTTATGCTCTACTTCATTTCTGCATAAATCAGGAGGAAACTCATTAAAGTTAGTGAAGCAGGTTCAAGTTCTGACAGAACTACGAAAAATCTGAAGGAGATTCTATGGGTCTAGGATTAAAAAACAATCCATTTTGTCATCTCAATCCAGTGTCGTCCCAAAGACAAGTGTCCATGTTAATACATGCTGCTCCTCCTGATTTAGAACCAAAGTAATCAGTAACAGAATCACTGGAAAGGAAGCAACTGGACTTTTAACTGAGCAATGACCAGTTGGAAAGCAGTCAACGTAAACTACCTACTATGCAGAAAGAGGTATCTTGGATGTCATGGACAGGACACGAAGTCCAGCACACAGTACCTTTGCTCGGGGAAGGGGCAGGGCGACACTCACCTCCCAGCCTACGATGGAGACTTGCCAACGTGCAATCTTGTCTATGCTTTCCAGTCTTCGTTTTCGCTCATTGATCAGACATGCTACGTTCTTCATAGCCTCATAGGCAGCTTTTATGTTGTTATAATCACTGTGAAATGCAGGCACATTTCAAAGATCACTTATGCAATCACAAACTGTGACACACCGCTTGAAGAATTAGCCTGCGCTATCCATTTTGCCCTCTACTCACGGTACTTAAAGGACAGAAACCTGATTCTCAGTTATCCTGACTCTCCCACAGTAGCCTTCACAATGCAGTGCTGCTGTACTGCCAGGCTTTGTCCAGGAGCAAATTATTCAACCAGTGGAAGGAGGCAAGGGAGGTAAATTACTGAACTGCAATACTGTCTCTGCTGAAAACAATGGCAGATCTCCCACTGACCTCAGTGATACCTACATTTCACCAAGGAACCTGGTTTTAAGTAACATTTTAGAAGGATTTTATTGGGAAGGACATTCCTTTAATCATGTTTAACAACTGCATTTCCTCCTAGTTCCCAGTGGCTGGGTCAGTGAATGCAAATGGAGTATGCTATGTGGGCAGAAAAAATACTGAAAGGAACCCCAATTAGAGTGAGTGAGGGACACAAGAACATGGGCACCAAGGAGAAGAATTAAAGGAGTCGGTGCTGATAAAGTGGCCTATTTTCATAAAACAAGTGTGTGAGAGCTAAGACAGTCACCTTCTCCTGCCTGCTCCAGCTCAAACGCAAGCCTCCTGTCCTTCTTCCACTGCTCTGTTCCTCTCCTTCATTCCCTGAGTTCCTCATGTACTTATGAATCTCCCCAACTTGTTGGCAGCTTTTCATTCCCCTCTGAATAACACCCATCACTCCTTCACCTTCCTCAAATACAATCTCTGAGAGAAGGAGAGATGTATTTCTTCCCTTAAAATCCCAGCAGAGCAACTGCCTTTCCTCCTTTATCAGAACACCTCTGTCAGAAAAGGGAGACAGAGGTAGAAAAGAGCACAAGCCAGAAATAAATCCTAGAAAGGGGTCAGCCTTGCTGTCTTTTTTAGCAGCTTCTGTCTCAGTTCCTATTTTCACTGGCTGATGAAGATGGATGTGCTTCCTTTCTAAACCTGTGTGTTGCTCTCCTCCCTCTACTTATAACTATAAAAACTCTTTTCTGCCAGACTGTATACAAGAAGTGAGATTAACAGGATCTTACTAACATCAGGAAGATGTCCAACAGGGTGACTGCATGATATTCACACTGCTACTCTTGCCCTTCCTCATCTCACTTCTCTCTTTCTCTGTTGGTGTGGACATTATTCCACACTTGCTGCACAACCCATGGCCTTCAAACATCAGATCTTCAAACTTTTTATGAAAACAAAACACTATGAAAAATATCAGTTGGCTGGAGCTTTACCAAGGCTCCTTGTGGGTGTAGGCCTGCCTGTTTGTGAGCCTCTCTGCACACTGAGTGTGCCTGCAGGCACCTCTGGATGCTGTGCCACAGGAAAACAGCTGCTGCGGGTGGAAGGTGGCAAGACCTTGCTCTCACTCCATCTGCAGGTTTAACAGCCCACAGAACAATTTTTCTAAAATCATTAGCAGTGAAAGAGATACCCATGTTAGTAACTGTTATTGCAGGACTTCCAGAACTGAATGAAGTCATTCACACCTGAATGTCAGTACTTCACATACTCTACATTTTTCCCCTCACAGAAATCTTACGCTGTCCAAGGGGAGTTTTCTCAAGGTTAAAGAAATGCAGACTTTGGCCAAGGAAGGATTGCCTCAGGCTGCATTTGGACTTTGAGCACAGAGGTCACAATGGAACATTTTTCTTACAGTTGTGAAAGGTAAAAAGGCAGACATTCAAAGATAAAATCTTAATTTATTCAAAGATTTAATCAGCTCAAGGGTATACCAGAAAGGCTAATAACCCACAACTTCAATTCTTACTTATCCCATCTAAAAATCTAATATTTGGACTTTATTGCAAAGGTAATGCTTATTACTAGTAAGTTTCTAAAACACATTCCCTCCAAACTTGCTCAGACTGTGTTTTCCTAAGGCCCTCTTTTACCTTTTCTTGTGTCCACAACACTTAACTAGCTTTCCCCTTTCTTCTGTGTATTCCCTTTTCCTTCATTTCTTTGATGCACTGACTTTTTTTCCCTCTGATTTACACATCCCTCCCTGTATGCTATTTCATCACCTTCATCCTTTCCTTTTTCCTCTTTCACTTATTCCATGTTCTGTCCTGCATCCTGTCAGTCCCCTGTGCTCTACTTTCAGATACTGTTTTTTGTTAACATTTGTGATGGTTCCAAGAAGTCCATCTCATCATGAGCTCCTGCCTATAGTGGTCAATGGGAGTTTTGTTCCTGATCTCAAAAGCTTCATAAACTTTGAGTAACTAGGTATTACTACTATTAGAAGATTTGTTTTATTCATTCTCTCACCTGTGCTCCTGAGTGGTGTATTTAAGCAATTCTGCAAGCTGCAGAGGGTACTTGCAGATCTTCTGAACAGGCGTGAGAAGAAAACCATCAATGGCAATGTCAATCATCTGCTGAAGCAAGCGGCAGGCCTCAAAGAAGTGACGGTATTTGCCCTGTTTCATTAGTCTGGAAAGTTCAATGCAGGCACTGGGATGATTGTTACAATACTCTGAATAAATAGCAAAGCCTTCTTGCTATTAAAAGAAAAAAAAAAAAAGTCAAACCTTTAACTAAAGTGTTTATCTATAAAGAAGGAAACATATTTCTGTAACAACTACTATATGTAATTAGATTAATTAAACCAGTTCCTATATCACTTCCGGGCTGATTGGCCTTGAAACTATGCAGAAATCTACTTTGTAACTGTCAAAACTATGTACCTTTTCTATAAGAACACAGAAATAGAGGCCTTCATTGAGTCAGGACAGTCAAACCCACTTTAATGAAGTACTTTTCTTTGGGGAAGACAGCTATAGGCTTAGCAAGTGTCTATCATGTTCTCACAGTCTCTTTCCCCACCATCTGCTTTCCTGATTTTCTCAAGGAAGTTTTTGCACACCTAGTATGAGATCACTCCAAATAGTCCAGCTCCTCTTGAATCATTACGGTTTTGAAAAGGAAACTTAAACTTGTGTATAATGTTACATGCTTGCTAAAGATGAGTAGAAATCTAAGACATTTAAATAATTCCTTAATTGTAAAATATTTTACAATCTAAACTGCTATCTATACACATTTTAGTATTTGATAAGCACTTGTTACTACCATGGTAACTTAATATTTTCTTATCCTATTTTGTTAATTTAGTAAATAAAATCAACTTTTGCAACATACATGTTGAAGAAAACATGACCCTATTTCACTTCGATGAGGTTCCTCTTTGTTGTACTGTTTCTCAAGATCCTTCAGAAACTTTCTTTGGAACTTGTAAATATCTTCAATATTTCCAAAAATGGTGCTTAACTGAGCTGTGGTGAACATTCCTGTATGTTTGCGACACTGCCGAATATAACCCTAGAAATGAAATCAAGAAAACCCTTTAGTCTGAAGATGTGAAAACGGGTTCTACCCTGAACAAGCCCATTTGAGCTGGCAAACCCCCTGGGGACTTATGGGCCAGTGAGTGGCTTCCCAGCCATGCACACACACACACACACACACACGCAATTTCAGATTTGCATCTGAAACGTTTACTCATTGATTCTTGAAGTCCAGCTTCTGTCTCAGAGTACCATAAATGAAACGGGGAACCAGAAACCTTGGAGTGTGTAAAGCTCACTTGCATCTCCTTGTTACAACTACCCAGCAAGCTGGAGGCAAGCTGGGTGTAAGACCCCAGGCATGCTACTACTTTAGCTGCCACTCTTTTCCATAGGAGTTTCTCTCTGGCCAACAGTTCTCTATGGGGATAAGAACAAACCCTAAAACAATTAATAGAAAGACAATTTTACACCAGGGCTAAAGTACTGGTTCCCTAACCAGTAGGTACGTAGAGCACAGTCTAAGCCAGAGAAGCAAAATGAGGAACATACTATAACACATCCAGAATACTGCTGTTTGGTAAAATCCATATGGCACTGGCAGGAGGTAACAGTATTGCCCAGACTGCACAGGAAAATACAATCACATTTCCTTTTTTTTTCTCTTTACTTGTAAGAACTTCAGAGAAGTCCAGTTGACTTCATACATATCTAGTGTTTAGCAGACACACAACTGAGTCCTCCAGTTTTAAAACACCCTCAGAGCAAATTCTGCCCTGCCACCAGCAGCCGACGCTAGACCGCGCTGGCCTCCACACGTGGAGGTACCTGCTCCACAAAGCTGAGCATGGCGAGGAGGGTGCAGTGCAGGGGCTCAGTATCCAGGAACAGGGAACATCTCTGCTCACCCTCTCCCATCAGTTATGGCACCAGCTTACAGACAAGTGCAAAGGTTAACTGGTAGGATGGGGCTGTCTGCCAGGCTCCTCCATCCAGCTGCTTGCAGGCAGGTTTCCCCCAGATCACTCTGGGAGCAGACAGATGTAAAATGCCTTGCAAGGGCTCCAGTGAGGTTCACCAGGAAGAAGCCCTGAATATTGCTAACACTGTTATGAATATTCCTGTCTCCTCCACAGCCATCTGTTCTGAGAGCTGTGTGCTGGCTTCGCTGCAAGCCAGCTATTACATTTACTACTGTTAGGAATGTAACTCCAATAAGGAAAACTAATTCCTGTGCTGCTCTTGTAACGTGGACTGTAGACATTTCTTGAATGTAAAATGTCTTTCTGGGTATACTCCAGCTTCATGATCCTGACTGCACCAGACCTAGTGGTTCATTCTGCTGCAAAGCCTGCAAATTTGGATTGCTACCTGCAGTAGCTTTTCTGGCTTAGCCTTACTGGAGTATATTTTCAGTCTTATTTCCTGGCTGCACCACTCTACAGATTCACTCTGAGGAAAGCAGACCATCTCTACTCCACGTGCTGAACGTGGAGTATCACTTCCCTACCTGGAAAATGTGTTTGCTATTTTGTACTACACTCAAAGATGTTTCAAATTTAAAATAAAGTGGTATAGAATACATGTATTAGAGAAAAAATAATTCTTAATATCAGTCTAAAACTAAGAGGTCAGTACAATATGAAAGTCATGTCCTGGAACTCGGCTAACCATGGCAGTAACACAGCTGTGTGTACAAATGCCTCCTTGATCCTTTAGCACACCCTCAAGCTTACTAGCTTAAGTAAACAGTGAATCTAAATGACAAAACTTACATTTACATTTTTAAATTAGCCAATTAGTAACCAATTTTTGCCTTTTTAGTTTCCCATTCTTTCTTGAAAATGCATAAAAACGCCTGATCTAAAAAAAAAAAAAGAAAACCCAAAACCCAAACAAAAAACGCTGCTGCCTTGTCTACTTAGTTATCCATGGAAGAATCTAATGATGAGTGGTGGACTAAAGGATGACAACATGACAAACAGAGAAACTATCAAACTAAGGGTACAAAGAATATTTTAGCAGGTTGCTTAGCAGCCTTCCAGATGCTAAGCACAAATACAAGTCAAATACAGGTCAAATGTGTCACAGTCCATGTCAGAAGAGGCAAATTTCAGTGAAAAGTACTAAAAAGCTTCTTGTCCAAGTGTGGGCCTCCAAAAAATTTGAAAAAAGCAGAAAAACTCTCACATTTAATAGTTCAAAGAAGCAAGGTAGTTTTAAAACACCTTTAAAGACTTCTCCATAACTTTAAGCAACCAGGAAATATGTCTTGGTTGGAGAAAACACAAAAAACCCTCATGTAGCAAATATTCTCTTTCCAAGTTAATTTCAAAAAATTTTGCCCCTAAGATGTAATCGTCTTTATTAAAGTTACTGAAAGTTTACTGTCTAAACCAAGTTGTAGAAAGTTCTAAATAAACTGGATTTCCATCCCATTATTATGGAAATAGCAGACAGATAAGCAAAGCACTTTTTCTCTGTTCAAAGTAGTATTAAAAAAAAAAAAAAAAAGGAAGGAGTGCTGTGTGGCAGTTGGCAGAGAGGAAAGCCATACGAGGACACAAGAAGGGTCTGACTGACAGACTCAGAAGTGCAACTGGGGATATTTTTGTACAAGAAACCACTCTGCTTTTCAACTCCTACAGGATGTTTTGTCCACATTAGGTCTGCAGAATGCCCTCAGGTTAAAACATGTACCTCACAGATGTCCTTGAGATGCTTGATATAAACTCGTTCTGTGTTCATAATTTCCTGTATAACATTGGTTCTCATCTGATCCTTGTTTTCAGCTATTTTCTGACGATGCTTGCTAATATCTTCATCTTGTTCTTCATCCTGGATACTACTACAATTCTCTGGGACTTCCTCCTGATTAACTCGCAGCTGCAGGCAGAACAAACAAAGCAAACTAGAGTAAAAGTAGTAAACTTACAACATGTGATAAAAGCGTTTCAAACTTATTAAGAGAGGACTTGACACAGAAATGTTGCCATTCCTACTTCCTAGACAGGGATTCACAACAGGATTTACCTTGTAGTACCTACTGCATATTCAAATAAATTTTTGACATTTCTCTCTGGTTAAACACATAGCTTCCTACTCACAGTATCTCATAGGCACCATGTTGTGTTGCTGGTGTATCTTTCAGACTTAAGCTTATTTCTGACCCTTAGTAATAATTTATGTGTTATTTTGGCCAAGGCAGCAAGTAGGTAAAAATTACAGGAGAAAACTCCAACACTTATTTAAAATAGCTTCCCTCTCCTCCAGTTCCCCACCTGTATGATGTGGGGCACCATCTTTTTCAGTTTTCATCTGGTTGTTCATGTTGCCTGGAGATCTAGGAAGGGCAAAGGCAGGAACCATGTACTGCACTTTGTGTAGTACTTCATACAGTGTGCTCCAAGCTTCACTACAGGCTCTCAAAAAGTGCTTTAATTTCTAAAACATAGTTAAATTTTATACCATTCAAGAGTTATACTGTCATTAATGTGCCCAAGTTATGACTAGGGAATTTAGACTGTGAACTAGATTCCTACACAATGTTGTGATAATAAATTAAGCCCTATTTTACCAAGAAATCCCCACAGCACAGCTTTCCTCACTCCCCCACGAAAACTGCTGCATCTTCTCTGCATATACTGACTGCTCCTGGTTGAGCTTTCTGCTGCCCTCATTTCTGCTTGAGAAATTCCTCTGGTTATAACGGGACCACACAAAGGAAGAAGCCAGAGTAAAAGGTGTCAGAGGAGCTGAGGGATCTTGGGGTGTGACTCTAGTGCTTTTTTCCTTCTGAAGTCATTAGGTGTTACACCACTAATGTTCATAGGGGCTAAGGACCAGGCCCTTCACTTAACTGTAACACCATGACCAACGACTACTGGTGCACGCTTCTAGGAATAGCACATGTCAACAGTGCAAAAGCAAGAGTTACTCACCCTGACAAAGCTAGCTGGAAACCAGGCTTCCTTGTCTTCGTTTCTTCCCCACCACCAGTCTTTGTTGGAAGCTTCTAGAACTCTAATGACATCTCCAGCTTTGAAGCCCAGCTCTTGATCATCCATAGTCACATGGTCCCAGAGAGCTTCTGCATACACAATGCTGCCATCGCTGATCAGCTGAGATGGGAAGAAAATGAGGTTGTGAAGGACAAAAGATAAAACAATAAAGTGTATAAATTACTGAAAGACTGAAATACTTGGGCACTAGAGTGCCCATGCTTAGATAAAACTAAAACTTTGGATTTTCAGAAATCTATGTGTGTGTTTATTAGTGTGAACAGTTAAGAGTCCTACTCCAGAGCAGATACACAGGAGAACAAGTTACATTCCCAGTGAGTCCCAGTGGGTGACTGTGTGCTCTTCCCCCAGTATCTTCTCATGGGCCCTGCCAAAGACAAGACACCACTGCTGCTGGATCCTTTGCTATGCTGGCTACTGCCACCGTGCTTTTCATTAATGCAAAACCTCAGCCCTGTGGAAAACTCCAACCACCACCCCCACCACCAGAGCAATGCAAAGCCCAGGCCGTTACCTCATTAATTGCTAGCTGTTCCCCTCCGGGCTGCAGGTACCTGGGAGTGGCTTGGCAGAGCTCCTCGTAACTGTAATCTTCCTCGCTGCCATTGTCATCCACTAAGGCCGAAGATTCAGTCCCACCATCTGCAGTAACTAAAACAAAGGTGCAACAGCTGTTTGCTTCATCATTTCTATGTTTTAAAAAAAAAACAATGTGAGAGGAATTGCAGAGAAGTTGCCTTTGTTGTCACAAATATAACAATAACAGCAAAAGTGGAGGGCAGCAGAGCTCTCAGGAAAAACGCGTTTCCGCTATGAAACACTTTTTACTCTTCTTCATGATTTCCTAATTTTAGCAGCTGATGAAACTGAAAAATTCTACTTTTTGTATGCAAAAATTAGAACTACAATAGTTATTTATTTATTTTTAAAGCCCACTGGAAATCTCAAATGTCCTGAATCAGAAGGGAGGTCTCAATGCTGTTTCCCACACAGCAGATGAGAGTTCCAGTGAGCCCCCCGCAGTCTTGGGGGGCTGCTGACAGTCCCAGGCTGGGTGCCCTCACATTGCAACATCCCCCCCAGGGATGTAACCACCCACCACTCCCGTGCCCGCCCACCCGTGAGAGGGGTGGGCAGCCCACGCCACAGCTCCTGCGCTGAGCTGGCTGCCTGAGCTGGCTGCCCTCACGTCACCTCTCCCACGTGCCGGAGGAGGCTCTGCCAGCACTGAGGTACCTACAGGGAGGCCCCAGGGGACAGGGAGTCTGGACTGAGCACAGTGTAACTGACAGAGAAAAAAACCTCCTTCAAATTGACACAAATCACCAAAAATCCTTGGTTTGACAACTCTACATTTTCTGACCAAAAAGGCAGCTTTGTAAAGAAACAGAGGAGAGAACAAAGATGGGCTTCATCCTATTACACAGCCATATAGAGAGAAATGTTATGTGACTGTCACTTTGCAAATGTAAATCTGCAGTTACTGTATAAAACTGTAAAACCCACTTGGAGTACATCACTGGTTGGCAGATCCTTTTGGTGATCATCTCCATACTGGCAGATGAAGGGGACTAGGGACTGATCTCAGGACCAAGCAACACTGACCCAGTGCTACACCCTTTCAGAGTAGGTTTGCCTTTGAAAGCCAGCTGTAATGTTCAAAGAGATCAGAGGATCAGTTTGTCACCAAGAACCATCCATGACCACTGGTCCGGTGCTTGAGGGCACACTCTGGCCCTTGTGAATTCACCCATAAAGGTTTATTGGCAGCACCAAGCTATGCGTAACTAGAGAGTCTGAAGATCATACAGTGCTCCAAAATCCAGTAAAAAATAAAAGTAAAACCATAATTTTTAAAAACCCAATTCAGAATGGGCCACTAGCACCGAACTCCTTTTCTAATAGTTACTCTGTCCCAGATAAGATGCCACACAACCTGCAGAGCATCTCCCTCACTCCCGAGTGCCTGGGAAGGGACTTTCAAGCACAGTTATTGAACCTGCCACTTCCACCTTGCAGCACAGCTGAGCAGCAGGGTCCTGACCCTGCCTCTTCTCTGCCCTGCTTTGAGTGTGGGTACTGCCTGCCTGCCAAGCTCTGGGCTCTGGATGGCTGAGAGTTGCAGAGACACGACTCCTGGCTTTACTCCACACACCTACACAACTCACGGGCGCACTGTTGCCTACCTTACAGGGACAAACACTGAACTCCCTCCTTATGGGCACTCATACCATCACTAGCATCTTTGGTAATTTGAGTATTAATTTGTGAGAGAGATGGAAGCTGATTACTGCACAGATTAATTACAAAACTCATCAGATTTTTCTTTCCTTTAAATGTGGAAAAATATGGCACAGTCTTGATATAACAGAACGTGGCTATTTGATCATTCCCTTCTACTCCCCAAGATTTTAAATATACACCCACATTACTGGTATAATCTGACTAAGGGAGGATGCAGAATCCCTATTGGGGAAAAAAAAAAAGAAAGAAAGATTTTTTTCCCCCTACAGACTCATAAATCTGAGCACTGATAAACTTTTAAAACACATCTTCTGAAACTTACAGGAAGTGCTTTATTAAAAAATCTGCAAATAAATAATTCGTTACATCAATGTTTACCTTATAAAGCAATAACAAAAAAAATAATCCCAGTGATCCTTTATACACCTCCACTGTACTATCAGTACTGGCTGTTGGTTTGTTCCAGTAACAGCAGCACCTCAAAATAGCCTAATTCATTTGGCTCCAGATGAAAAATGACTGTGATTTTGGGACCGATAACTGCTCATTCTTCTGTGCAAAATCAACAAGCTTACATTGTCTTCATAGTTAGACTCAAGTGAAAACCAGTCACATTCTGCATCTATTTCTGTGTTGTTTACAGACAGAAATATAAGGAGTACGGGTGGGCTTCCCTGATAGCACCAATAGGATGCAAAAAACTTAAAGACGGCCTGGGACCGATTCTGATCTCCCAGCAGCTTTGTCACTAGCGTAAGGCTGCAGGCTCCCCTGGCTGACACAGCATAAGTACGATCAGAATCAGGCTCCCTGACGGCCACAGTTCACCAGCTCCATCTAAAACACTGTAAAAACCAGCACGGAGAGAGCATATTCTACTCACACGTACCCATCTGAAGGCTCTCCAGACTCCAAAATCGTGCCATTCCCCCCCTGGCTACCATGCTGCCGTCAGACTGGACCCCAGGGCGAGGATCTGACCTCTAGCAGGTGATGCTGGGCGCCGAAGGGCTGGCGGAGGATCAGGGCAGGCGCCGAGCTCCGCGCCGCGCAGGGCACCAGCCAGCTGGCTGCCTTCGGCTCCCGGCC